AAAGTTCACACCTTAACGTGGCTGGCTTGATCTTGATGTTTTCTTTACTCGATTTAACCCACTTATATTCATAGACACTCAGACACACTCACACACACTTACACACACACACACACATGCAGTGACACCCACAACACAATAGTTCACCCAAATATCTGTGCCTGGCGCATTTCCCACACCCACAGCCAACTGGAACTATGTAGCCAATCCAATGGCCATCTGCTGAGCTTAACCCAATAAATAGCTGACATAGCTGGCTGCCTGGGCTGGAAAGGATCCAACACATCGCAATGGCCGAGTGAGTCATAAATTGTGAAATGCAATGCACATTATCGTCAGAGCGAGATACAAAAAAGTCAAAGAGCTCCAGCTCCAGACGTTGGCCAGAAGTAGCTGAGCCCCTGAGCTGAGCTGAGCTTGGTGGACACTTTCTGGCAAACAGTTGGCATCTCTAGTCTATGCCAGTTGAGGTAGTAGTAGTAGTAGTTGTTGTTGTTGCTGTTGCTGCTGTTGCAGTTGCTGTTGTTGCTGTTTGTGTTATTTATGAGTTTTGTGATGTTTCTGCAAATTTTTCTATGTAAGAGACTTGCGACTCCTTTGTTTTTGTTTTTTTTTTTATTTTTTATTTTCGTTGCAACGACGCTGAGGTTAGTTGAACTTGCGCCTGCCGGCCTGGCTTATCGCGCGTCAATTGCGCAGACAACTTCATTGTAAGGCGCAAGAGAGATTCCTGCGCATTGATGTTGACAGCAGGAGTTCCAAGCACGCGTCCCATCCACACACACACACACACAGACAGAGATAGAGAAACAAGACAGAGAAAGACAGAGAGAGAGAGAGAGAGAGAGAAACCACAGAAGGAAGTTGTGCTTGCGGTTCGAGCTTAGGCTGACTCTGGCTCTGTAGAAATCTAATTACATTTTGTGGCCGAACTTTCAATAGTGTTTGAGCGATTTCCATCAGTCAATAAAAACTGCGCAAACTCCAAACTCGTGCGTCTCGTGGACACAGCAGGCACATGCTCCAACTGCATCTGACTGCATCTGATATGCCCCCGGGCTGGCAACTGGCGACGGCAACGGCAACTGCAATTCAGGGGGAACTCTCACAACTTTATTTGCGCTGCATTTCGCGGAAATCGAAATCTGTGCGAAACTCGAAATATTTCGTTGGAAATTGGAATGCCAATTCAATGCGAATAAAGTTTTTTTTGTGTTGCTTGCTCAAGCGAGTGACTAAGAGTATATAGAGTTTATGCAATGAACTCGACCTGTACTCAAACATAAGAGTTAAAGTATTGGCTTTATTATATACTATACCCACAGAAAATGAGGTAGAAAATGATGCCAAAATATATGTATGTATATATTCATTGTCTACAAGATAAAAACAGATTGCTTGTCAAATACTCTTTCAGCTTAAGCCAATTAGTCAAACATATTGTTTAAAAACTTCTGTGGTACTTATGTATTTGCAATTGACCTTAAGTATGAGCTATATGAGTTATATGTAATATTATCATAACTGAATTACACTTAAAGCAGGCATCAGACAGTTGGTAGCAATTGATGTTCATGTTTCTGCTTTTCTTTTCTGCATTGTCAATTTTGCCATACCTCACGAGGCGTCTAACAAATTATGGAAACGTGCTGCTGGGCCGACAAACAGACAGAGCAGAGGGACACAGACAGGCATAACATAGCTAGAGCATATGCTGTGCTGACAAGCGAAACAATTAAAACTAAAGTGGAAACGATCAAAAAGTGCTACCCTGGTACACAGAGATCTATTGCCGCAGATATATAGTTCAGTCCAACCGCAGTGGCTGGCAATTTGCATATATTAATATATTAACTGTAGATCTCCAACTGGCTGGCCCGACACCCTCGCCAGGACACATCACTCTCCCTGCGTGACTCATTTCGTGCTGGAATTCTTGTTGGTTGTTCTCGGCAAATGCCAATTGGCATTGGATGTTAGGCGTCATGTGTGCCGTATGCTAATGACTCCGACAGGACTCGTCCTCCCCCTCTCTCGCTGAGTGTCTGCCAAGTCCAATACGATATATATGGGGCGATGATGAGCTGGCTGTTCGCTTTTGACATTGTCATGCTGTCAAGCGTAACCAAACTCCGATAAGAGCAATAAAAATGAAAATAGGTTGCGAGCGGCGCACAAAAGCAACAATAGCTTTCGTAACATCTGTGAGTAGAGCCAGAAATGGCAGAGTTTTTAGAGTTTGCTTGAGGCAATTGGATGAGAGGCATGCACTGGGAGAAAATGCACATTCGTATAAATAGAATATGACTCGGGTAGTGCAAAAATCTCTCTCAAAATCACTTTGATGTTTACTCTAAGGAAACTCGATTTTTAAGGTTTTTCTTCTAGAGATCTAGCTGAATAAGCAAAGAGGAACTATTATAAGCTGAGCTAGTGTTCAAATAAAATCGCAATCTGTTTTCCGTATTCTACATTAAATACTACGAAAAATTAACTAATAAATGTGATAATTATCTTTCGAAATTATTTTTAATAATATTAGAACGTTTTCGAAAAATAAAAATTAAAATATCCATTATCCAGATATGATTTTTTAATGATTTAAAGCATTTACTAACTAATTACGTTTTTATATTATTAAAATAATTAAATATCTAAATAGAAATATCTATATAAAATAATTTATAAAGGTATAGGTATTTTTAAATTATATACCAAATTTTTGTAATTATTGTAATTTAATTTTTTAATTTAGGAGATGCTTATTATTATTTATAAATTATTTTACAAGTTCAAAATGTTTTAAAATTTATGAATTTTAAAACTCACTTAAAACAAAACAAAATTAAAAATTATAATTTTTTTTAAATTGAAAAAAAACAAAAAAAATTGTTAATAAATAAACCTAAACTGGAATATGCGTATATAATTTATATAGTTCAAAGAAATATAAATATAATAATTAAATAGTTCAAAGCATCTTCCAAATTAATTTCCTCTCACATGCATTTCTCTCAGTGCATCGGCTGGCACGCGATCGGTAGCAGCCCATAATGCACGACACGTACCAATGCTATCGACTCGAACTGACTTAATATATGCACCCACACAGTGATGACACGCATACCTACGACAAAAAAACATAAACAACATTGAGGGAGACACCACATCAAATTGGAACTGAAAATTATGCCAATTGGTTTATCACTTGGCAACTGGAATACTGAATAAAAAAAAATAAAAAAAAAAAACAAGCAACATCTGAGGGGCAGACAATTGCACAGAATTAAACAGACAAAAAATAAAAAACACACACAGACATTTGGAATGCCAAATTGCATTTAGTATTTATGATACTAAGGCTAGGGAAGTACAGTTGGGCGCAAAGGCAGCTGCAACCCTTTCAGATGTATTGACTGAGCCAGCGCTCCTTGGTTTGACGTCGCCAATTGAGGGGAAATAAGCGCTTCCAGATCTCGTAGCGAGCCGCATTCAGACCCTCCCGCAAGATTAGCTCGTCGCCAATGTCCAGATAGTAGCGCTTCTTGAAGCTGAACGGGCGCCAGCGAATGTCGCGCAATTTCTCGTCGCTCGGCTTGTTGGGGTCGCTGCGAAAGGAGATCCATTTCAATCGAGCTCTTGATTATCAAATCTCTCTTCTACGTACCCCTTGTAGGCAAAGGCAGCGAACATGCGCGTCATCAGGTCGACCATGCGATATTCATCGTCATCCTCCGTAAACATGCGACTAATCGAGGGCTCCACAAACAAATACATTAGATCGTCGTGATGGACGACGCCGTAGGGCGCCTCCTCGGGGTAGTGGATGTGACTGCGTCCGCCCTGGTAGGCGAAGCGATACTGATACACCTTCGTGGCCCGAGCCGCCAGATGCACAAACCGATGTATACCAAAGCCCGTCAGGGCATCCGAGTAGAGCATGGCCAGCGCCTGCAGCGAGCTATTCGCCTCGAGCGGCAGATTGCCAAAGTAATACTGATGCAACTCCTGGCTAATGTTCTTGGCACGCGGACTGCTGGCATTGTAGATAAAACAGATCGGAGCCAGGGCCTCAAAGTTGTCATTGAAGGCGCTGAGCAGCGAAGGACTTTGCAGAATGGCTAAGGGTAGATCAAATATAGAATTACGGATCTCTCTTCGTCTCCTCTCTATCTTTCTTCTTCCTTTCCTCACTTACATATAGCTGGACCCACAAACTCATCCTTGGTCATGCCCGTTATGATGGGTATCTTCATAAAGTTGCCATTCTGGTAGCTGCGCACGGGATCCTCAGTGAGAAAACGTTCCTGTCCAAAGTCTGGCTCCACCACGGGCTTCCACAGGATCAGCGGATTGTTGCGCCCAAAGTCAAACATGCGGGGCAACGTATTGGCATACTCCAAGTAATGTTTCTAGAGATGAGAGATGAGCTACCTCTAATCATAATCTTACTCAAGCTCACCTCACGCAGACAGAGCATCATTTCCTTCAGATCCCTCGTGTTGCACTGCAGCAGTGCCGCCTGCTTCTTGGCCACGTCCATCTGATGCTCCGGCAACGACCACTGACCCGTTGCGGAGCCACTCATCACAATGGCCCGCTGGAACAGACCCTGGGACATGGGCGACACCATGTGCAGGGTGACGGCCATGCCGCCCGCCCCATAGCCGAGCACTGTGACCGAGTTGGGATCGCCGCCAAAGCGTGAGATGTGCAGCTTCACCCAGCGCAGCAGCTGCACCTGATCCTTCAGGCCCATGTTGCCGGGCGCCTCCTGTGTGCCCGTGGCCAGGAAGCCCAATGTGCCCAGCCGATAGTTGAAGGTAACCAGCACCAGATTGCGATCCATGAAATACTGCGGACCCGCAAAGTTCTTGCTCTGGCCGGACAGCGAGTAGAAGCCGCCGGGATGAATGAAGACAATGACGGGCTTCTTGGGATTCGGCTCGGATTCGCTGGGCAGCTGACGTGTGTAGATGTTCAGCCTGAGGCAATCCTCGCTCACATCCTCGCTGACCAGTCCCGGCTGCGGGCACTTGGGTCCATCGAAGGTGGCATCAAAGATATCAAACCATTGCTCAATCGGCTCCGGTGGCCTGAACCGCAAATTGTCAACGGGCGCCTTGGCATACGGAATGCCCCGAAAGGCATAGAAGTTGCGACCCGCCTGCGAGGGCAATATGGTGCCACGAATTTTGCCCAAAGCCGTGGTGATGACCAGGTCCGAGAGCTCCTTGTCGCTGCCAATGGGCACATCATCATCCTCATCAGCCAGGGCCTTGGCTACCTCGCTGGAGTTCTGCAACACAGAAATGGAGCTGCCCAAGAGCAGCAGGAGGAGAAATCCAACTGACTGCAACATTTTCCGCGCACTCTGCAAATAAGACTGTGGAGGCTGGAGCCCAAGCTTTAGCCTTTTATAGTCTCCAACAGACTCGGGATTGAGTCACATAAAGTTTGCAAATTGATGGGATTCTTTTGTGCAGCTGAACGTGGGCGTTGGCTGTGGCTTCCTTGTTCTGAGAGCGGCTTCCCATGTCCAATTGGCGACGAGCCGTGTTAACCATAAATAACTAACGTGCTGTCCGGCCCGAGAAGCACTTCCCACACACACACACACGCCCAGTGCTGGCGGCACCTAGCCCAATCCCAATCCGATCTGCCGATCGGCCCACGCAACATTTTGATACGAATACTTCAGTTGGGCATTGTCTATTAATTTCTTATTGCTCCAATTTTTCCCACGTGAACTTGTTTGCGTGCTAGCGGCTTATTAGATTAACAGCGCATTTAAACACCCTCCCTCGGGCTTAGCCCCGGTGACCTACCCAACAAAAAAATAGAGAAAGAGAAAAAACCCAAACACAAAGCGAAATTCACATCCGAAAGTGATCCCTAAATGCTTGCTAATAGCGTTTAATGGTGAGCATTAAAGGTGAGCACAAGTCATAAAGTTCTCCAGCACAAGACGATGATGACACACCCCATTGTGCCCGGTCTCTCGCTAGAGACCGCAGAGCCAGATCCAGCCGAGAGACCAAAGTCGTTGAGGTGCGTTAAGTGTTCCTTTGTGCTCCTCTTCCGTTTGTTCTTCCTTATTTGTTTTCCCTTTCCTTTACATTTGCTTTTTCCCTGTTTGCTCTGTGCGCCGTGCTCAAAGGACGCACATAAATTGTCTGTTGGTGGAAGGCAGACAAAAAGCGTGCTAATTGGATTTATATTGGGCATTATGAAAGGAACTTGGTAGCGACTGCTGCTGCTGCTTGATCTACTTTTAAAGTGTGAAAACCTATTTGCTGGGTAGCTCTTGAGATCTGCAAAGGTTTATATTTTCCCATAATTGAAGCAAAAGGAACATGTGTGGGAGGTACTGACAACCCTAAGCTGAAATAAGCCTGAATATTTATTGGAAACTCAGAATTATATAGTAGAAACACATAAAAAATAAATAAGCTATTAAAAAAAATAAAAGACTTAAATTATATTTGAGAAAGAAATTGCATTTTTTGGAATACATGTTTCATAATATATTATTAAGTATAAAATCTTTTATCACTAACTTAACTCTTTGATACTTCCGCTCTTCAAATTGTAATTTTATGAACGGAATGAATTATTCGAAAATTAAACGAAATCATTAGTATACGTAAGTTCGATAATCATGATATACGATAGTTTCTTTATAACAAATAAATATTTCATATTACGGCGACGAAAAAGTTAGTTTTTAAATACTTTTAAATATTCATTGCTAAGATGCTCACATCAGACAAGATTCAGATCACAGCTAACCCATGCCCGTGGGTGCTTCTATGGGGTCCATATGCCATTCAAGCTCTGGAGTATAAATGACAGTCATTTGGACAGAATTCAACTCCTACACAGCTGAAGCTCTGGCTATAATTGATGATATGACCTCATCTATATATATATATGTATGTCAACCAGTTGCCACGCCCATGCGGCGATCTTCACGCCCTGGCATGCTCCCTGCAGCACTGCCAGCCTAGGCAAGAGAGCCCATCACACGTAGCACACTTCATGGCAAGCTGTGCCGTTGTTAGACATTCTGTGGTCGTCTTGTCGCGTTGTAAGTATTACCTGGTAATTGTAACATCAGCTCCGGCTCGAGGCTCGAGCTCGAGCTCGGCAGGTGACACACAAATGCAGACGCCTCTCTGGTGCTGCAGTCAGACACTAATGACCAGACGACGTCTTGCCATGCGCCACAGGATGTGTCTGCAGTGTTGTCGTGAGGTGTGAAGAGTGGCCAAACCAGTGTCTGCTAGTATATGTGTATGTATGTATGTGTATGTGTGTGTTATTGCTTTTACGACTCCTGCCGCGCCTCGAGAGTCGTTGCTCAAGTGTGCCCGTGGTGATTTTGTGGGTTTTTCCTAATAAAAATTGTTTTGGTTTTAACTTTCAATTTCGATTTAATTAGCTGGCAAATGTTGACATATTGTCAGAAGCCAAAGGCGTTTGTGTGTGGTCGAGATCGCAAACAGATAGTCAGATATATCTTTCACTAGAAACCGGGCACTAGTTACCATCTAATAGTGATTGGCCTTCGATTTGGAATGTGCCAAGTGCTTGCCCAGCTACAAAAAAGTAAAAGAATAGAACACCAAATCCATTCCATTCGATTGTCAAAGCGCATAATTTATTAGCCATAATCATTAGATCGAGCGAGAGGCGAGAGGCGTTTGTCTGTTCCAAAATTAGCATTGCATTCTATTTGCAATGCATTTCTAATGCTACCCCCAGCAGCTTAGGGGTTGGATTAGCAACCCCTCGCAAAAAAAACCTACACACACAACGGTAAATGCACATTGACTAATGAAATGTTTGGCGATTGCGGCATTTTCGGCGGTTCGATTTCGAGTGCGCCTGGGCAAGAGGTCGTTCTGGGCCAAATGATTTTTAGTTATTTATGGCCCACAAAATCGTGACAATTGCCCCGAGTTTTTGTCATTTCCGAATTTCTACAAAAATATCAAATTTTGTTTAGCCATTTCCAATTCAGTTTATGCCAATTTGCATTTGATAGTACGCCCGCGAATTTGTTGCCACCGGAATGCCAGCTAATTAGTTGGATTTGTTTTCCAGGTTTTATGCGCTTCTAGAGCGTCGAGCGTGGCCCGTGCCCAACCGGGTCTGCCGCGGCACCTGGGCACGCGTCACACAAGAGATAAGTTTTATATTATTTACTTTTTTGGTTTTTCGAAAATTTATGACAAAGCGCGCATTACAAATTGGCATGCGGCGAGATATGAACAACTTTTGTGTACACACATATGGGTGAAAATAAAATGAACAGCATTGCATTTGCTATGCTTTATGAGAGTGCCCTTATGCACTGAGATGATATTATAGATGCCTCTATGAAGACGAAAGCTAAATGCAATATAAATTGAAAATGATGCAAAATTTGCATTGGAAATGGGAAATTCGAATGTAGAAAACTATAAAATAAAATATAGTATAAAATTATAAAATATATTAAAAATAATATATTTGGAGATTTTTATACATTATATATTTAATGTATCATAAATAAATGATAATAATAATTTAGATAATCTATAAGATATTATATACATTATTATTGTATTATAAATAATAAATAATATAGTTTTGGGTGTCTAAGGTTTTTAAGTTTCTCGTTCAAATGAAATCAAAATAATTATTTAAAAAAAAATATATATATATATTAATAATATATAATATTAACTCCAAATTATCAAAATTTTCGTAATATTTGTTACTTCACTCTATGAAATCCAATGCCAAGAAGAAAATAATTAGATAATTATTAATTGAATGTCTATCTATCTATTTCAATATATTTGATATATAAATATATATATTATCAATTTTAATATTTTAAATAAAATAAATAAAATAAATAAAATATTGAATGATTATCACCATATTTTTATCAAAATTCAGAAAATGTTTTTATTTTAAGTCTAAGCGCTAGTAAAAACTACTGCCTTTAAATATTCCTCACATCATATGCTGAAATTATATTATACAAGTTTAAGTTTTATTTTTTCTATATTTTTTTCTAGCATTTTTAGCCCATTCATATGTCAACTGCGCATCAGCAGCTGCTTTTCTCCGATCTCTGGTTCGCAATCCCATGAGCATATGCAAAAATGAGTGTATAAATCGGAAATGGATGCTCACACTCTATAAGTAGAATCCACCCCGATCGACTAAACAGGCGCGACTCAAACAACAATTGGCGAACGGTAAAAACTGTCAAAGGCAATTGTCGCACTCTTTGTTCGCCGAGGCACAACAAACTGACAGACAGACAAACAGACGAAGAGACGAACGGGCGGACGGACTGCCGCAGTGATTGATCATTTGATGAGCTCTTTGATTCGCAGTTATCTCTGATAATGGTCTGGGGCTTACAGCTCGTACATCAATTTCAATTTCGAGTGGGCTGAGCGTGCGAGCGAGCCTCTAAATGAACGTGGGAGTTTCTAGTTTGCACCTTTCAATAAAACTGGCTTGGGCTCGTGAGATCGGACTGGGGCCAGACAGCGAGCTCTGGTTACGTTTGCCATGCGAAGCACGTGCCGTCGACTCGAGGCGCTGCCTAGCATGTAAATCTGTATATGCCACTTGCAACTGCAACGGCAGCAGCCGCCTGCATAACCAACGACAGCAGCTGGAGCTGCAACGACTGCGGCTGGCGGCTTGCCACAGTCTTTGCCACTTCCTTTTCGTGGTCTGTTTGAGAATTTAACCCGTGCCGTCGACGTGCTCATGGCATTCAGAGCTAAATTAATTGTTGTTGTTATTGTTATTGTTATTATTGTTATTATTTAGTGGCTGCGTACCACCTGTTGTTGGGCAGCCAGACCTTCAGTGTGCACATTAATTGAATGTTAAAATGAAAACGCTGATCCCTTTGATTTTGCAGTCGCACTTTTCATTTCTATAATCGTCGCTGATGTGCAGATAACTTCTGATGACTGCCCGTCATATACTCATAATCGTCAACATAATCGTAATTAAGTTAAACGGGTATTGACATACATACATACATACATGTATATAGTACATATTTATTAACCGTTCAGTTTTGGCGTCTGCTTAAGCGTCTGTCGGACTGGCCGGCTGTGCTCGACTCGCTCCTTGTCGTAGGTCATGCGTGCGGCTGCAACGTCGACTCCGACTGCGACTGCGACCGCGACTGCGACTGCGGCTTGCCGTCTGGATCGGTCGCACTTATGTGGCCTGGCCTGGCGCTACGCTACTTCAGCTCACTTGATTGCCTATGCGCAGACACATATGCGGGATGAAGTCAATAATTGTGTCCAGATTTCACATCTTGCTTAGTTGCTTTTGCCTGATTGGCCTGGCTAAGCAGTCAAGGAGTGAGAGCCAAGCGAGTGAGCTGCTCGACAGCTGCATGTGATAGATCATCTTGATTTATGCAATGAATTACTTAATATATGGTGTTAATAAATAATAATAAATACGCTTCAGCAAAATTCTACCTTAATAAAAACAAAATAGTAAATAGTATATTTATCAGTTTTTAAATAATAACCTAACTTATATTTTGTAAATTACAATAATATTCATTAAAAATTATTTATAATAAATTCAATTCAATTTTTTATTTTAGATTATATTATTCTTATTATTTATTTTATATTATATTATTATTGTTGTTTATTTTATATTATATTATTATTATTATTTAGATGTAAAAAAAAGATTAAATAAAAAATATGAATTCATTTTTATTTTTAATTAATAATATTAAAATTAAGTATCCTTTATTATTTTTTATTGAATTTATACGCCATTTTCTAG